TGACCAAAAGGCTGCGCGGTGGTTTGGCCGTTTGAGCCGAGATGAAGGATTCATGAAGTCAGACTGGCAACGTGGCCTGAAATTTTATTCGGCTCTCAGCGAGATGGTCACTTGAGACTACGGGGCTGATCGGAAACCAGGTAAACTCGGCCGCACTGGGTTTCAATTCCCACGTCAGGTTTGGTGCATGTTAGACCTCCCCCGTTGGCTGAGGTTGGCAGGGAGCATGCGACATGCCAAACCCCTTTAGCTGGTGCATTACACTTAACACCTGCTGGAGGAGGTCGAGACGGGGAGGCTCGCGGATAGCAAGGCGCATGGGGGGGGCGGCAGATTGCCAAGAGCCTCCTCAGCTCGGGCATTAGATTGGAGCCACATGGGCAACTTTGGCTCGGAGCAAGCCAGGCTCGGCTAGGTGGTCAGTGGCCATCACACAAAGCGAGCTGAAGTGGGTAGCGGGCGAGCCTGGTTTGACTTAGCCGTTGCTCACGCATAGAGCACCACAGCATTATGGAATGAGAGTCCAAGTGGTCAGGAGGGGTCATGTGGTAAGCAGAGCAGTTGGGGTTGATTTGGGGTAACCTGAAGGCTCTGGACTAAATATAAGTTGGATTCAGGCAATGTGACAGCTAGAACCGTCTCGCTCGTTGGTGGTCAGGGGCTAGGTCAGCCAGAAGTAGCTCGCTTGCAGAATTAGGATCTCACAAGTTAGACAAGTCACAAGCAACGTCACATACAGGCTAGGTCGGTGACAGACAAGTCACTCACGCACACGCAAGGTCGGTCACAGGCTAGACCATTCACAGGTTGAGGCATTATACGCTAGGTCAGTCACAGATTATGTCAGTCAGTCCGAGGTTGGTATCTCACTGCCAGGTCAATCATTGGCTACGTCAATCATTGGCTAGGTAAATCATTGGCTAGGTCAATCATAGGCTAGGTAAATCATTGGCTAGGTCAATCATTGGCTGGGTCAATCATTGGCTAGGTCAATCATTGGCTGGGCCAATCATTGGCTGGGTCAATCATTGGCTAGGTCAATCATTGGATGGGTCAATCATTGGCTGGGTCAATCATTGGCTGGGTCAATCATTGGCTGGGTCAATCATTGGCTAGGTCAATCATTGGCTGGGTCAATCATTGGCTAGGTCAATCATTGGCTAGGTCAATCATTGGCTGGGTCAATCATTGGCTAGGTCAATCATTGGCTGGGCCAATCATTGGCTGGATCAATCATTGGCTAGGTCAATCATTGGATGGGTCAATCATTGGCTGGGTCAATCATTGGCTGGGTCAATCATTGGCTGGGTCAATCATTGGCTAGGTCAATCATTGGCTAGGTCAATCATTGGCTAGGTCAATCATTGGCTAGGTCCCCACAAGCTAGGTCCTTCAAGGCCTATGTTAACGTTGATCAAATGCTAGATCAGCCAAAAGCCAGGTAATTCACAAATTAAGTCAGCTGGAGGCTGCGTCAGTCACGGGGTAGGTCAAACATAGGCTAGGTCAGTCACCAGCTATGTCAAGCACAAGCTGAGTCAAACAGAGGCTAAGTCCCTCACAAGATGGATTATTAACAAGTTCTGAGGCTAGATTACTCACCGGCTAAGTCACTCACAGGCGAAGCGAAAGTCCGTTCACTGGGGGGGGGGAGGAAAGGGAGCAAATTGATGTTTCATGTAGGAAAAAGAGTTCACCGTGGGATATTCTTGGTGCGGCGAGTACCAACTGTTGCACCGCGCGTATTTTCTTGTCTTTTGGGACGAGTAACGAGTCGGCCCATGCGAAAAAGCATTACTCGCTATGAGTAGGTCCAACAAAAGCTAGGTCAGCCATGGGCTATAGTAATCACAGACTCACAGGTGGGGTCACACTTACAGCTGAGTCAGACACAAGCCGGGTCAGTCATAGACTGGTTGGTTGATTCACAACCTAGGTCGGTCGCAGGCCAGGACAACCACTCTCTAGGTTAGGTACAAACAGCGAGTCGAGTTTTGACTTGACTTGCCTAACTCGACTCGAGTCGACAAATCGAGTCAGTATTAACTCGATACGAGTCTAGTCAAGTCGGCTGGGCCGAATGGTCAATGCATCGCCCAACTGGATAACCAGGTCAAGTCAACCTCAAACCGCGAGTTGACTCCAGTCAGGGCCGACTCGACTCGCCCTATGCACATGTCTAGGCTAGTCAGTCACACGCTAGTCAGTTACAGGCTAGGTCAGACACTGCATGAAAGGTTGGTCACAAGCTGAGATGGGTCACAGGCTAGGTCGGCAGAGCCTGTGTAAGTGACAGTGTGAGCGTCTGAACCAGGGCGAGGAAACACAGCACGGGAAGGGGCCGGGCAACAATGAGAGCCTAAGTCAAAGCCTCAGTCAGTCCGAGCCTAGGTCGGTCAAAGTCTAGGTCAGTGTAAGCCTAGGTCAATCAGAGCCTAGGACAATCAAAGTCTAGGTCAACCCGAGCCTAGGTCAATCCGAGCCTACGTCAATCAGAGCCTAGGGTAATCAGAACCTAGGGTAATCAGAACCTAGGGTAATCAGAACCTAGGGTAATCAGAACCTAGGGTAATCAGAACCTAGGGTAATCAGAACCTAGGGTAATCAGAACCTAGGGTAATCAGAACCTGGGTCAATCCGAGCCTAGGCGAGTGACAGCCTGGTGAATGCTTCTAGACGAAAAATTAGCAGCACGGGAAGGGCCCAGGCCGACAATGCGGTTGGTCACATCACAGGCTTGGACGGTCATTGCATGGGTGAGTGACATCGTGACTCCACGAACCAGGGCGAGGAAACACAGCAGGGGAAGGGGCCAGGGGAACAATACTACGAGGGGCTAAGAATGCATCAAGCCTCTCGGCGGTTTGCAGAATTTGTAAGCGACTCGGTGTAACTAAAAGTTGCACATCGGGCTCTGACAGAACAACGAGCACCGTAATAGGGTTGCAAGGCTGTGAGGCGCAGGCTTGCAAGGCTCAAAGTTCAGAGGAAACGCGATAAAGTGACTTACCTCTGATTAGGGTTTCGTATGCTATCGCGTATCCGCGGCCCTCGAAGTGACTCAGCAGCGGCGCGAATCAAAACGTGCTGCGTGATGGTGAGGGTCTATATTGAGTGGTCGATGTACTGACATGCATTTTTCTCACGGCGCGTGGCGATAGTGACGGCTACCGAATCTGGACGGCGACAACCGTGCTTGCTGGAGCATGACTAGCTGTTCGCGAATACGACCATTTAATAGGGTCGCTGGTAATAGTCGGCCTATGTTTGTGTGGAGGTAAATGGCGACAAGGAATTTCGTTGCGAAAATTGACCAAGAGCTGTTCGCAAATCACAGACCCTGCCCCAATATGCGAGGCCCAAGAAACACGTACCGCCTGTTACACAGCTGCTGAATTATTCGCCATTCGGAAACTTCATTTTCGCCCGGAACTTCGGAGGAAGCAGTTACGTCCCTGAACTGTGTTCCAACACCTTTGAATCGGATTACACCTTGCAAAACCATTCAAGGTGAATTTCCCTGATACAATGTAGAGCACAAGTCCTCGGCATGCTCATCACCGTCTCATCAGAAGTTGTACGAGTCGCGTTACTACTTATCAGTAGCGCCTTATATTTTCCGAACCCGCGTCTCGGTTAGCACAGTCATCCCCCAGTATCCCTCCCTCGTCGCCTACATTATATGCTCGTCGTCATACCTCTCATACTGTCGTTCAGCGGGAGCCTGCGTGGTTTGCCCCTGCCTCACTTCTACTACGTAAGCATCTCATTTCATCGAGTGAAGATCACAACTAATGCGCACTTTCGTTCGTTTGGAATGTTCGATGCACGTTTCTGAGCTCGGATTCAAGTGTCTAAGAAGCCTAGACATCATAGCCTAGACGTCAGATTCAATCTACGAAACCCTAGAAACATGCCAAAGTATGGCCGGTTCGTCATTCCACTCATTTCTGCTCGCATTCCGGGTTTCCCCTCATATTCCTCCTTTCGCCGATGCTCTTGAGTCCGTTGACGCACCCTGCCTTCTGTTTCTCTCGTCCTCATACATATGCCCTCCCCACGGTCTGCTTTCCGCGTTCCAAGCTTAGGGCGCTGAAAAGAAAAATGTAGAAAACAGTCATTTAGTCATGCATGGAGGCGTCACTTCCAAGCTCTTATTTGGGCAAGCTGATCGCCGGTAATTACCAATGTCTGAGGCGAACTGAACGTAGGCATTGCCAAGGAAATAAATGGATGTGTGGCCTGGCATTCCAGAAAGTCCTGTAATCACAAATCCGTGTCGTTCTGCTCTACTTCAGATTCCTGGCTTTACACAGTTTCGAAAACCGTTTTTATTTCTGCTAGAGCTTTGCTTGCTCGCATTTCCTTTACCAAGATCGTGCCTTGCTCGACTAACGAGGTGTGGCGAGTATTACTCGCCGAATTGAGTACTTCTCAGGCGCCTCTCAGCCGCCTCGTTACTCCCCTTGTTGAACGAGTGTTTCTTGCCTGTGACGAGGCAAGCAACACTCGCCTCGCCCTCAACACCCTTGTGAAATCCACCCTGCACGACCGGATATTTCAATCTGCCCCCCCTCCCAACCCCACCTAGAAACCCACATGCTGCCCCACTTGGAAACCACCCTGAAGGCCAAGTTCTGATCTGAAAATCATTGCCAAGTATATTCTCTGAGATGCCGTGCGAAGGGACAATTGCAATAATATTTTACTCGCAGGTAGAGTTTGCCTCGCCCTTTTGGCCAAGTAGGGAATACTCGTTTGCTTGACAAGCGAGTGACGTGCCTCGCCTCGGTCGCATAAATTCAGATGAGGCAAGGCCTCAGTCACTCGCTGTACGTTCATGTCAGCTTGATCAGAATGTCGCTCCTTCCCCCTCCTTGTTGTTTCGTGCACAAACCCTATTTACCTCCATGCCTTTACCTCCACCCAATATGCTACAGTGCCATCCACTTCCGGCAGTCTGTAGCAAGGAAGGAGCCGGCTGAACTGAAGCCGCACTTATGGCAATAAAGAGGGGGACAAATGAGATAGGTGAAGCAGTGAAAGCGCTGTTTGGGTTGGTGAGGGAGGAGCTAGTAGCAGCAGTGAAAGGGGAGTTGGGCGCACTGTGGGAGGAGGTGGGCAGGCAGAACGAGCGAGTGTTGATGCTGGAGAAGAGGAGCTGGTTCGTGGAGAATGAGGTGACTGAGCTGACGCACGCACTGGATGTATTGGAAGAGACGAGTGAGACGACTGCTGCTGTGGAGGAGAAGAGGGAGATAGAGCTGGCAGCAGTGAAGGGGGGGCTGCGTGGAGTGGAGGAAGAGCTGACCGGCGTCAAAGGGGAATTGGCTAAAGTGGAAAAAAAGTATTCTGAAGTTCAAGGGGAATTGGCTGGAGTAAAGAGGGAATTAACTGGAGAGAAGGGGAGGTTAACTGCAGTAAAGGGGCTGGCCGGAGTAAAGGGTGGATTGTTTAGAGTGGAGGAGGAGTTGGGTGGCGTCAAAGGGGATTTGGCAGGAGTGAAAGAAGAATTGATTGGAGGGAAGGGAGAGCTAGCTGCAGTGAAGGGTGGATTAGCTGGGATAAAAGGGGAAATGTGTGAAATGAAGGAGGAGTTGAGAGGAGTTGAAGAGAAGTGTCTTGTATTCGAAGGGGAGTTTACTGGAGTGAAAAGGGAGTTGTCTGAGGAGAAGAGTGAGTTGATGGCAGTGAAGGTGGAAATAGCTGGAGTGAAGGGGGAGCTGTGTGGGATGCAGGAGGAGTTGGCTGCGCTCAAAAGAGAGTTTGTTGGAGTGGCAGACAAGTTTTCTAGAGTCGAAGGGGAATTGTCAGGAGTAAGTAGGGGATTGGCTGAGGGGAAGGGGGAATTAGCTGGAGTCAAAGGGGAAATATGTGGAATGCAGGAGGAATTTATCACTCTCAAAGTAGCGTTGAATGAAGTGGCCGACAAGTTCTCTGGAGTCGAAGGGAAGTTGTCTGGAGTAAAGGGGGGACTGACCAGAGCAGAGGAGGATTTGATTGGAGTCGAATGAGAATGGAGAGGAAAGAAGGAAGAGTTACATGCAATGCACTGGCGGGGGATAGCCAGTGTGCAAGGGGAGATGCGTGAAATGAAGGAGGACGTCAAAGGGGAGTTGACTGCGGTAAAGGGGGAGGTGACTGAAGTGAAAGAGGAATTGACTGGCTTAAAGGGGGGGCTGTATAAAGTAGATTGGGCATTGATTGGAGTGATGAAGGATTTGACTAAAATACAGCGGGCATTGAGTGGAGTCAAAGGAGAGGTGACTGGGGCTGTGAATAAGGTGTCTGGAGTAAAAATAGAGCTGATGAAAGTCGACATAAGGCTGGACAAGGTGAAAGGTGGGCTGACGCAAGTGAAGGAAGAATGTTCTGGAGTCAAAGACAAAGTTACTGGATTCAGGAGGGGGTTGACTGAATTGAAGGAGGAGTTAATCACAGTCAAAGGGGCGTTGACTGAAGTTGAGGGAAGGTTGACCGAAGTGAAGGAAGATGTGTCTGGAGGCAAAGGGCAGTTGAGTGGAGTGAATGACGGGTTGGTGGAGCTGAAGAGCCAAACAATCGCAGTGAAGTCATTTGTTAAGAAGGAGGAGAACGAGCTCAGAGGAGCAATGGCTGTAGTGCGAGAGAGTGGTCTGACAGAGGGGTTTGGAGGAGAGAGGGGCATGGAGAGGCAAGGAGGGGAATCAGCAGCCTTGACAACGGAGGTTGCTAGACTGAGTAACCGCGTCTGGAAGGTGGTCGCAGCCCTTGTGCGGTGGCAGGGGGGAAGCCAAGACACGTGGGAGGTGAGTGCGGTTCATGGCCCAATATGTATGTGCTTGCTGCTTTGTAGCTGAAGGAGCATACATGTACTTGCGGTATGCCCCCACGATTTCTGACTTGTCATTATCTTACTTTGGCTCTCCATAATCGTATTTCCTCCACACGTTTTTCCTCGTGTGTAAACACTGGAGCAGTGTTTGAAATCGTTTGAGTCGTTTCAGGATTTCTGTGCTTCTTTCCCTCCAGAAAATCCTGTCAGCATGGAGCGGACCTACAGCAGCAAGGAACGCGGTGGAGCTGAAGAATCTGAGCACCCTGTCGAGCGCTGCTCTGCACCACGTGTCGAGAATGCACGACCTGAAGGAGCTCTGCCTGTACGGGTCCTCAGGCTTCGATGCAGAGGGCTTAAAGCACGTGTTCAAGCTGGCGGGGCTGGTGAAGCTGGACCTCAGCTACTGCGCCGCACTGGATGGGCTGGAAGGCATTTGTGCACTGAAGGGACTCGAGGATCTCTGCTTGAGTAACACCACAGTGACTAACACCGGCCTGCTGCACCTAATAGGCCTTTCCTCACTCAGGCTGCTGTGGCTGCATAACTGTGCGGGTGTCACCTCTGCTGGCATGGCGTATGTGGGGAAGCTGACAGGCCTTGAGCAGCTGTATTTGCGAGGCACTGGGGTGAATGACAAAGGGATGCAGCACCTGACCACCCTCACCAACCTAAAGATCCTCTCGGCGCCAACAAATCTCACCGACGGGGGCATGGAGCATGTGAAGCATCTGGCTGGGTTGAGGAGGGTGGAGTTGCTGGACTGCAGGTTCACCAGGAGGGCGGTGGAGTGCTTGCAGAGCCTGCTAGGCCTGGAGCGCATTAAGACGAATGTGGATAGGCTGCTGGCGTTGAAGAGCAGTGACCTTGCAGGGGTGACAGTGGGCAGTGAGCGCTGGATCCTGTTTGACTGATCAACATGTGCAGGAAGGATTTGTAGATATGGATGGTAGTATTGCCTGTGTGTTTGTGCTTGTGTATTCGCATCCGTCTGGTGTTCCAACATCTGTACATTTGACTGGCCAAACCAGCAACGTGCTCGCATATGAACTTAAGGTTAGTGTGGATTATTAGCATATTCAGAAGAGCCAGATATTCAATCCTTGTACGATAGTACCAGTACCGTATTGAGAAACCTAACCAACACCAGCAAGCAACCTACCCACTCCCAAAACCCACTGCCTACCGTACTTCAAGCCATGTTCCTTCAGCCCACCTTCTGTATCCACTCTACCCGCCTTTCCTATCACCACCTCCTCCCATCAGTTAATACCCTGCAGGTCGATCACATGCTGCCTATCCAGCAGCGACTGCGGCAAACTCTTGAGACGGCCGCACCCTCCTATGATCACCTCCCTCAAAGTCTCCATACCAGCCAGCCCCTCCGGCAGCGCCCGCAGCTCCTCACAATCTTCCAGCGAGAGGATCACGAGGGCGGGGAGGCGAGAGATCGACTCTGGCAGGCAGCGCAGGCGGAAGAGACCATTAAGCTTGAGGGAGGCGAGGCGGGGGAGGGAGCCGATGGAGTCGGGGACAGAGGAGAACTTCTCGCACTCGATGACAGAGAGGAGGACGAGGGAGGAGAGGAGGCCGATAGACGCGGGCAGCCCCGTCAGCGCATCACACGCCTCCACAGTGAGCTCTTTCAGTGCTTTCAGCTGCCCGAGATTCTTGGGCAGGCGCGCCAGCCTAGGAAGGGTGCTCAGAACGAGTTTTTCGAGGTTGGAGAGGTGAGGTAGGGAGTCAGGGAGGGAGGGCATGCGAATGCACCCCTCAAGAATGAGGTTACTCGGCAGCAACGGCAGGCGCGTATTCACGATTGCTGCAGAGACGAGAGCAGCGCCAATCTCGCCGGCTGACCGGGTTGAGGATCAACTGGGAAACAGTAAACCTGACCGGCTTCAGAGCCGAGATCCATCTCTCCAAGGACAGTTGCAGCCTGGGCACTATGTGGGCGAGGCGCAAAGAGCGCCTGTAGAGAGTTGAAATGGTGCAGGTTGAGATGAGTGAGGCGCGAGAGGGTGAGGAAGGAGTCTGGCAGGTAGCGTGCTACAGGGAAGACGTCAAGCAGGGAGACGGTGGTGACGGAGGGCGGGAGGGCGATGGGTGCAGCATGTGGGGTTGAGGAGGGGCGATGGTACGCGGAGAGTTGGTTCGCAAAGCCCAGCTTGCTGCACTTATCCAGGGTGACTCGCTCCAGCCTCGGCAGGGCATCAAGGCCGCGTGGAAGGCTCGTTAGACTCGGGCAGTTGGAGATCACCAGGCTGTGAAGCATTGGGAGCGGAGGGGCCGGACGTGCAGAGGTGGAGGTAGGAGGAGGAAAGGGCAGGAGGGACATAAAGCAGCGCAGCTGCGGGCAGTTCTTGACTTGCAGCACTTGCAGCCCTGCCATGTCGCCCAGCCCATCTGGCAGGCCCTCCAGCGCGTCACACCCGTCGATGACCAGCTGCTGCAGGCTGGTGAGCTGGGTGAAGGACATTGGGAAGCTGTGCAGCAGGCAGCGCCCCAAGAGCGATTCATCCAGCTGGTCCAGCAGGAGCGGTTCGTCCATCAGCATGAACATTGAGGCCGATTCCTCCTGCGCGCTCACTGTGAGCGCCGTCGGAGGCGGCCACGCGGGCTGCCCTGGCTCTGAATCCTTTCTCGTGAAAGAGTCCGTGCTTCCCACCTTGAAAACCTCCAGCTTCAGCAGCTGCCCGAACCTCTCCGGCAGTCTCGGGATGGCGCAGTTGAACAGCTCCAGGCGCCGCAGCTGCGGGAGCTGCTCAAAGTTGGGCGGCAGGGAGACGAGCGACGTTCCCCCGTAGATGGCTAGGGTTTCAAGTGACGAAAGGTTCGCCAAACATTCGGGCAGCTGGACTAACCCGTAGCAGGCATGGAGCCGAAGCTCCTGCAGCTTCCCCAGCTGCCCGAACGACCTGGGCAGGGCAGTCAGTCGCTCGCATGACAGCTTCAGCCGGACCAAATTCGACAGCTGCCCGACATCCTCGGGCAGCGCCCGCGCAGCGCAGCCGTCGAGAGTAAGACGCGCGAGGGAGCACATGGCGGAGACCGAGTGCGGGAGAGCGTCAAGCAGGGTGCAGGCGACGATTCTGAGCTCCTGGAGGCGAGAGGCGCGACCCAGGGAGGCTGGAAGCGACAGGAGGGTGTTGAGAAAGCTGAGGTCGACGCGTTCTAGAGTCGGAATGTGGCCGATAGCGTCTGGCAGGGACGAAAGTTGTTGGCAGTTGTGGAGAGAGAGGCGCTCGAGTGTGCGGCTGGCGGAGAGAGATGGTGGGAGGTGCGTGATGCGACCGTTGTCTAGGATTTTCAGCTCAAGCAGCGCGGGCAGCTGACCTAAGGAGACTGGGAGAGCAGTGAGGGCAATCAGTTCTTCTAGGTGCAAAGTGCGCAAATTCGCCAGCTGGTGAAAGTTTTCGGGCAGTTTGGCGAGCTTGTAACACTGAAAGAGGGTCAGGCTGGTAAGCGCAGAGAGGAGGCAGATGGAGGCGGGCAGCTCGACGAGCTGCGCTAGTCGCTGGAGACTGAGGATCTTGAGGTTTCGGAGCTGCCCGAAGCCGCTGGGTAAGTAAGAAATATCGCAGCGGCGGAATTGGATGTGCTCCAGGGCGGGCAGCTCGCAGAAGGAATCGGGCAGCACGAGGGAAGACGAAATTATCTGCAACCGCTTCAGTCGCACCAAACTGCCGAACTCGGACGGTAACGTGATAACAGCTTCGCGGAAGGACATGCTGAGCTTCGTGAGCTGCTGCAGGCAGCTGACGGCCGAGGGAACCTCGGAAATCCCTTTCCCGAAGCTTAAGGCAAGACTGACCAATTGCGTGCAAGACCAGAACAAGGCGGCGACATCGGCCGGCGAGATCGCCCCGGCCGCTAGCGCCGCTTCCGCCGCTTCCGCCGCCTGCGTGCCGATCCCGGGAGGAGGGTACTGTCGCGCGCGCGTCACGTGCAGCCACGCGTCATGCAGCTGCAGCGAGAGATGCGTTAAGGACGGCCCAGATCCGGCGCAGATGGCGCGCACGAGCGCGGAATCGACGGTGTCCAGCGCGTTGGGCGCGAGGTGCAGGTGGCGCAGGTTGGGGAACCCCGCGATGGCGGGCGCGCGGAGGAGGGAGGCGAGGGCGCGCGCGGAGAAGAAGCGATCAAGCGGAACGACGATGGCGGGAAGCACGAACCGGGCGACGCGCAACCAGCGCTTGCAGACGAGCGCGTGGCGGAACGAGATCAGCGACGACGAGCACTTCACGCTGGAAGAACGAGCGCTCGTGGCCTCGCCGGGAGCCTCGGGATTGCCGGCGAGCCACGCGCTCTCAGAGGGGAGCGGCTCGATTAGGGCCTTGTCGATCTTCGTTTCCGTATCGGCTTCGTCCTCGTCACTCATAGGAGAATCCTGGCCGCCGAATTTGACGCCGTTGCACGCCACGCGCAGTAGCACGGCGCCCAGCAGATTGTCAGAGAACGCAGAGAAAGGATCGCCGTCGGATCGGTGTGGTGCTTCCTGATCAAAAGCGTCAGCCATGGCCTGGTCTGACGTTTCTGCTAGCGTTTGCTCGAAAGACGCCATGGATGCGGGACGAGAACCCAGATCTGGATTGAAGAAATCGGCAATGTGAAGTGGAAGCCTGCACATGTACTGAGCGCCACTGTGTTGGGAGGGTCTAGCGAGTGTTCGCACAGCAATGCAACAACACAGCGACATCGAGTTCGCGGCGCGCTATGGGAGACTGGCGAGAGCGAAATCCAAGTTACTCGGATAAACTCGCATCGTTCAAAGCATTGGCTTGCATGCTTTCTCGCAACACGTGGCAACTAACGGCTGTCCGATAAAGATTAGCAGTCCAGCTGTTTGGGTAGCGAGGATCTGTCAGGTTCAGCGAAGTGGGGAGTTTTGCGAATTCGATAACGGCTTCAAATGGCCTTGTTAGGTTCGATATCGTGCACCCAACAAGGCAACCCGGAAACAGCTTTGTTGACGAAATGAGATGTGCCTCACGACTGTAACAGATTGGGCAGTAACGAGAGAATCTGAAACGATGATTGAAGTTACACGTGCTTGACGAAAGCAGTCACCTTGATTGAAGTTCGCGCATCCATATCCCGACTCCTCTCTCGCCTCCATCCCCTTCATGCCTCCCTTTCCCACTCACGCCCATCTCAACTCAAAGCGAGGAGGCGGATTTGGGAATTCTAGATAAGTCCTCAAATCTTTACCGTCGGATTTGATAGTCGTACATCCTCAGCCTCACGATGCTGCGACCAGGTCCCCGGCGCAAGAACGCACTGGCTACATTCCTACCCCCAGAGTGCTTCTCTGCGGTCGCGAAAGCGAACGCCAGCGAATGTCGTGAATAGTAATGGGCGAAACGTCCAGAAGAGTTATGGGCGACTTATTCCATGAATCCGTGCATGAAATGCGAAGCGTCTCGTTTTTGGCGGTGCGAACACGGCCGAACGAAGACATGCACGGCGGGATGGATTTGGGCGCAAGGGAGGGTAGCGTGCTCTTTCCGCCACGTGGCGACGTGCAGAAGGGGTCCAGTATGCATGCCGCCATTCGTGCTTTATTGCGGCATAGCTTGCTAGGTGAACGCGATTCGGTCTTGCGTGAAGACGAAGTGACTGAGAAAGGCGACCCGAGATGGGTGAGATAGCAAGGCGAGTGGCGCATTGGCAGCAATGCGCGCATCGCACACATCCTCCTCCTCCGCTCCCCATTCTCTTCCTTCCTCATGCCCGTCTCTTGCACCCTTCTCTTCATTGCCAGCTCTAACTGCACGGCGTCGATTCATTTCCTTCCTCTCCGCGTCCTAGCCTTCATCTTGAGAGCTTACCCTTTCTTATCAATGTACCCTCCCTCTTGAGAGCCCTCCCTCCATTCCTCTCCTCTTCACTGCCTACCGTGCCTCTGGAACCTCGGTGCGGCCACTTGCCGCTTCGCGTCACTGTTCTCGCGCTGGGCGCCCTCGGGTGAAGCTCCTCACTCGCAGCTGCCACTTGGCTTATCGCCAGGTACGCCCCTCTGCTGTGCTTACCGTCTCACTCCGGATGCGCCCTCTTGCTCGCGCCGTCCACCAGCCTGCTCTAAGCGTTTACCAGAGTAACAGATGCGGTGTCTTGCTCCTCGCCTGACCTGAGTTGGTCTCCTCGTTGGTTATCACATGCAGCTTGCTCCTCGCCTATCTCAACCTTTCCTCGCACCTCCCCTTACGTCCTAGTGCTGCCACCAGCTCCTCTGTGCGACTGCCACGCCACTTCTGTCGCCTGCAATCAACACTTCTTTCACACTTCGCCCCCTCCCTCCCTCCCCTCCTGCTCCTATTTTTAACGGGGACCATTTTCATAGGCCCCTGCCGTTGATTGAACTCCAATCTTCAGCTACGCATAACAGTATCCCTATTCTGTCTATCCTTTCATTTTGCTCGTGCCTCTATATCTGTTTTTGCTTCTCCTCTCCTCTCCTGCTCCTCTCCTGCTCCCCTCCTCTCCTTCTCTCGTCTCCTACGTCGTCCACCCCTTCTTTCTCCTTCTCCATCCCCTCTCCTCCTTTCGTCTCCTACTCCGTTCCCTTCTTTCTTGTCCTGCTCTGACCCTTTCCTCCCCCCATCGTTCCCCTCCCTCCCGCTCTTATGGTCACTTTGGATCGCTGTCTTTGTGTTTCATCTCCAAGGCCTCACACCTCGCCTTAGCCTCACTATCTGGCATGCCTGTGTGCTCCATCTCTCCATCCCTCGCCTTGTTGCCTTGCCCCCTGTGACAGATTCGGTCTTCTTCTCCTGCTGCTGCCCCCCTCCCTCGCCTGCTCCTGCCAAACCTCACTGTGTTGTGTTGTGCAGGCGCACGCCTTGCATTGGGCTCGCCCCATCAGCCATGGCTCGGATGACTGCAATGGCCATGCTGCTGCCAGGCCTGCTCGCGGCTTTCCTTCCCGCCATTGCTGTCACCGTCAGCATCATGCTACGTGCCAGGAATACCTGGCCTTTCACCACTGCAAAGGACGTGAGTGGTTCCACGCTGCGCGTCCCTGTTATGGCAGGGGTCTCATGCATGGTGGTCGCTCTTTGCCATGCTGTGCTGCCCATCGCTGCTATGGCAGGGGTGTCATCGCTCTCTCTTTGCCATGCTGTCGTGGCCTCGCCAAGCCCACTCCAGCATACCTGCACATGCTTATGTTCTCCACATCGTGTATTTCTTGTTCTTGTGCCTTTCACGGTTGCCTTGTCTCATATCTCTGCGAGCACCCACCTGGTCTCTCCATGTTGCCTCTTGCAGGTGCCACGTGGCAACCAGCAGGTCAACCACCCTTTCGCGCTTCCCTCTGCTTCCCCCCCTCATGTAAGCCAGGGTTGTTCTTTCCTCCCATCATCATGCTTTATCTGATCGCTGTTCCTTTCCTTGTTCTGATGGATGGTAGCAGAATCGGCGATCATGCAGGCGCACAAAATCTTTCTGTGCTTCATGTGTGCTGTGCATGTGTGGGTGTGTGCGTATGCGTGCACATGAATGGTGTGTATACATGTGCGTGTCCTTTTCTCCCTCTCAGGTCAATGTCACTGCCGCGTGTCAGAATGCCACATGCGGACCTCCCACTCCCGCCCATACCATCGTTTCCTCGCTTCAGCATGCTCACGCTCTCAACGTGCCCCTTCACTTCCTCCACTCCCTGGTAAGTCTTGGTTTGAACACTGCTTCTGCAATTTCCGTTTCGCTGCAACCAACCATTTTCGCCTTGATTCAGTGTTTCTTGGAGTTGGGAGCATACGTATTGCCCCTTTCTCAATTCCAGTTCTCACACACGTCATTCCGTATGCCCTTGCTGTTCCACGTGTACTCGTTTGCAGCCGTCGGGTGCAAACCATCTGCTCTTGCTGTATTCTGCCATCTCCACTCTCATCGCTAGTCTCATGGCACTGCTGTGGGGGATGGGCGTGACCCACACGCAAGTCAGAGCATGTCTATCCAGCTCTGAGTTCTCTCTGACCTGTTTTGGGTCCCCGCTTCTGAGTTCATTAAACTTGTGGCGGCGATCTTTCTCGCCCCGTGCTCTGGGGCGCTGCCATTCTCTGCTAGGAAGCGCCTTGTTTAAAATTGGAAGCTCGTTGCTGCCATCTGCCTCACCGTCGCCACACACCAGGCAGGTACGCTAGATTCCTGTGTGATCGTCTGCTGCACCTCTTCCCATGGATTCATTTCCTGCCACACTTCTTTCTCGTTTCATATCTCTCTTCCCATGTGCGGTGCTCGCTCATCCCCTGTCAGCCTTACGTTAGACCAACTGTACCCCTTTGCAAGTTACTTAGAACTCTGATCTGTTATAGGATTTTTTGTCCGGATAAAAAGCTAGTACCTTTTCAATTCAACCTGCCTGAATCTAAATGAAGTTTTCTGTATCTACGCCTCTCTAATGCATTGTTGCTATCCCTGTGACCAAATCCACATTTTTCTTGTTCCGTGGTCCTCCAATGTTGCTTCGCATGGCACCCGAGGGAGGATTGAGAAAAGGATTGACATTGGTGTTCTTCTTGCTCTTGGAATCTAGGTTCAAAATTACGGTCGTATTTTTGAAATGTTACCGTTTTATACGGTTTCTTATAATAGGCTCCTGTAAGAAATCGTAGAGCAATTTCAAAAATACGACCGTAATTTTTTAACCTTGCTTGGAATAGCGCATCTACATCATATGCTTTTTGATGAGTCATAGTATGATGAAAGAGTTGAGGATCTTTCAGCATATAACCACTCTTGAATTCACACCAATACATTCTCTGAACCCTGCACTCTACATGTCGCATGTCTTTCCATGTCCCTTGCTCCAACCTGCTGAATGTACGCTGCCAGATCGCGCTCTCTGCTCGTCACTCTCTTGAGGTGCCTCTCTCCGCTCCATTCATTCCTTCGTTCTGCACACATCTCACTAGGTACGCTACGCATCTTCTTTCAGGACATTCGTCCCTCTTCAGTATTGTGCGAAGCCGTTTCCAGCCGTCATCGTCCACTGTCCTGCAATATTCCCATCCAGCCTTAGCTCTTCCATACTGACTCACTCCGCCTCTCAGCCTCTGAGCCTCACCGCATCACCTCTTCTGGCTGCCTCTTCTCTTTGCCAGCCCTAGACCTTCCGTCTGCCCCCTTTGTCCACCTCACCTTCTTTCTTCGCCGCTTCTCTCGCCCTTGCTCTAGGTATAGATCCTTGCGTTGGAGAGGCGTAGACCATCTCCTTGCTTCGCCGATCACCTCGTTCCTTCATTCAATCCTTCTTCACTCGCCAACAGTCCCATCTTCATGCGTTTGAATGTCGTGCCCATATCCTCAATCTGTCCCTAACCAAAGGCTAATCGCCTTGAGACACAACTGATCCAGTTATCCTGCCCCTCACCTGTTTTATGCTGCCACTTATTCTCTACTGCCGCTTACGCCCGCCTTCCTTTGGTTCTGCCTCCTCCCACTCACTCACCTCCTTCCTCAGCTGTTGTTTGCTTATCTATTCCTCCTCCCCCCAACCCCCCTTCTCCCGCCGCCTGCCAGTCCTCTCGCCTGCTTCCCCCCGCCTCCCTGCTAGTCCCACCTGTTTCCTCCCCCCCCCTGCCACTGCCCGCTTCCCCCACATACCCTGCCACACATCACTACACAGGCGCACGCCTTGCATTGGGCTCATCAGCCATGGCTCGGAGGACTGCAGTGGCCATGCTGCTGCCAGGGCTGCTCGTGGCTTTCCTTCTCGGCGCCGCCATCACTGCCATCTGCATCATAAGTTTCACGGGACCTGACAGGGATGCTTATCCACCAGTTGCTGTGGACGTGAGTGGTCACTTCTGCATAACAAAGTAGTAAAATCTTTTGAAGCATGCAACGCATTTGCTCTTTGGTATTTTGAGCACCAGTCCATGCCTGCCCCAACCAGCATATATGTGCACATTGCGTGTGTCTTGCAGTTTTGAAAGATTCCATACTTGGCCCTCATTATTTACCTGTTCTCTCTTCCGTTATTGCCACGTGCAGTTGCCACGTGACACTGGCAGCCAGAAAGTCAACCACTCTCTTATTCTCCGCTCTCCGTCCCTCTCTTTTGTAAGCACAAACCCTGCCACGCTCATATTGTCGTTTATTGCCACATTCTCTGCTTACTGAATGCTGTAGTTTTTTGTTAAAATGACTGAAAGCAAGATTGGTACGTCATGTAGCATTGAAGTCATTCGTTTGATGCATGCGTGCGTGTCCGAGTCTGTGCGTGCCTGCGCTGCGTGCATCTCACTTCTCCCTCTCCATGTGTGCGTGTGTGTGTTGTTTGCCTCTCAGGACAATGGCACTGACACGTCTCAGAATGCCACGTGCCTGCCACCCATTCAAGCCCACGCAATTGCTGCCTCTGGTCAGCAAGCCCACGCTCTCGACGTGTCCCGTCACAACCTGGTGCGTGTTGGGTTGACTTGAGGCATGTTGTTTGAGAACTTCTTTCAGGATCGAATGTCTTGTTCAGTTGTAACCTATGGGTCCCTCCTCTTTCGCATGCTTCTTTGCTAATCACCCTGTCCTCCCACATGTGCAGCTTTCGGTGTTCATGCTCTATTCTGCCGTCTCCACTCTCTTCTCTACTCTCATGGCACTGCTGTGGGGGATGGGCGTGACCCACACGCAAGTCAGAGAATGGGTGCATCAGCAGGGCTTGGCTGTGACGGCTGGGCTGATGAAGCTGAGGAGTGCAAGCAAGTGCCTCCTGGTATGCCATGCACTCTGCCACTGCCCGTTAACCCTGCAGCTCTTCCTGTGCCAAGCTTGTCTTCCCTCTCGAGGCACTCTTCCCCACTTCTTCATGCCCTCACTCAAGTTCTGGTTACCGCTGCACGCTTCTCTCCCCTCTTTCGTCGTCTTCTCTCCTGCACTCCCTTCACTATGGATCTTGCCTTCTCTCTTTGCTCTCATCATGTTGCAGCCTTGTGGGATCTTCCCTCTTCTGCACAGCCCCATGTGAGCATGCCCCACCTCGCCATCTCTCGTCATATTCGCAACCTCACAAGTCAGTAGTGTCTGGTCTGTTACTAAAAAATTCTCCTTTTTAGCAGTGTGCTGTGCTACCGTACTTCTGACTTCCGTCATCCCTTGTACAAATGACTGCTTGTATATCTATCAACAACAATCCCATGCTGTTTTACGTTTGCATGTGTCACTTAGCTTTGCAATCAGTAGCTGCCCTTCTGTTTCGCCTGCTGCCTCAATTTGAGCTTTCTCTTCTCATTCTCTCAGGACTCATATTCTGCACCCTCTATTTCTCTCCCCTAGCCTCCCGTGTCCTTCATTTACTTCACTGTTGCCCCTGTTCACCTGTGTGCTGCCATTCGTGTGCTTTCATGTGTAGGACGCGCGTCACTTTTGGGATGCAGAGAGTGGGTGAGGCTGTAGGGACTGTCATGGCAAGTATGTCCAAAGCACACGAGTCGAAAGAAAAATTTGAGTTGGGTGAGGCGATGGAGATGAGAATGAGGGCCCTCGGCATGCAGCTGGAAGAGACAAGGAGGGAGTTGGAGAAGGCTGAGAGGAGGCGAGTGGCGGAGATGAGGGAGATGAGAGGGCAGGCGGAGGAGAGGGAGAGGGGGCTGGCAGCAGTGAAGGGGGAGGTGAAGGTAAAGTTAACTGAACACAAGCTTGCTGTTGCAGAGCAGTTGGATGTGGCTGAAAGAAGAAGGGGTTCGAAATCGAGAGAGCTAAGAGAGGAAGCTAGACAGGGAAGGGATGAACTGAGAGAGGAGTTGGCAAGGGAGAGGGAGGAGAGGACGAAGGAGGTGCAGGAGTTGAATTGGCGACGTGTCTTGAAGGAGGTGGCAGCTTGCAGGAATCGGGTAGATGTTGATTTGGAAATCAGCCAGAGTGGAGGTGGTCAGAAGACTGCATGGGAGGTGAGTGCTGGTTGAAGTGTTACAAGAGGAATTCATGGTTTCACAGGGCACGCTCTGTTTTCTATTGACACGATCGTGACTCTTTGTCATTTATTTGTTGTCATTTATTTCCCTCTTCATCCATCACCTCCAGCGTATGAAGTCAGCATCAGGGAAAATCGATCTGGACCTGAAGAATCTCAGTGGCGTCTCAGATGCCATCCTCAGCCATGTGTCCACAATGATCCACCTGACGAGCATTGACATGGCCGCTAGCTCAGGCTTCAGTGCAGAGGGCATCAAGCACCTCTACAGGCTGCCACTGCTGGAGACAGTAAACCTCAGCAGCACAAACGTATCAGACAGTGCCTTGGAAGGCATTGGATCCTTGGTCGGGCTCAAGTTTCTCCATATCCATCGTAACAATGTGACCGACGCTGGTCTGACGCACTTGACATGTCTCTCCTCACTCAAAGATTTGAGGCTTTCTGAATGCAAGGGTGTGACAAATGCTGGCGTGGTGCATGTGGGGAAGCTGACAAGGCTTGAGGAACTTCGGCTGGGTTGGACGCCGGTCACGGATGATGGGCTGCAACAGCTGACTGCCCTGACCAAGCTGAAAACTTTACGGTTGCCAAATGGGATCACCACCGCTGCTGCTGCTGCATAGGGATTGGGAGTGTGCTTACGGAAGCAGGTGTTGCGGCAGACGTGAAGGGCTCGGGTGGGGCAGGTGGTAGTAGGAAGGGTTGGTGAAAGACATGATGCTGCCGGTCATGCAAGTGCCTCTGCGGTAGTAACAGCAACAGCAGACAAGTGCCAGTGGATGTCACGGGGGAAGTTGATGAGAGAAGATGCGAGGTGATGCGATGGGGTCAAGCCCTGATGAAGTTGACGAAGCTGAGGGCAGGTAGGGTGAGGAGAGAGGGGGAGTGGAGGGGGGCGGGTGGAGGTGCAATCAGGTGGTTGGGAACTATGCTTTTTGAAATACCATTGGAGTGGATGGGTTGGGAGAAGAGGGGGGGGGGGGGGGGGGAGGGTGGTAGACCGTAGAAGGGGGGCTGTTGCGGCGTGGAGGAGAAAATTGAGTGATAGAAGACGGTCCCACAATAAAAAAGAAAGGCAAGTTATTGCGTGAGAGTGGCTGCGTGAGAGTGGCTGCGTGAGAGTGGCTGCATGAGAGTGTGATGGCTAAAGTGTTGTTGCTTGCCAGATTGGAAGGCGGTGGTGGGAGAACGAGGATCCAGGACGGGGAGAGACACTGGTTTGTGCAAACGTTGAACTTCAAGAAGGGGCATGACACGAAGGGCATGGTATGATGGGATGAAGGCAGGGGGGAAGGGGGGACAGGGGAAAGAGAGAGAGGGGAAGAAAGCAGCACATGAGGGGGATTGTGGCATGGAGGGCGGAAATGAGTGACAGCAGGCGGTCCTGGTGTAGATGATCTGGGAAGGAGTGAGAGGTGCTGCTTGGCTGGATTAGTTGGGGAGAAGATGGGAAGTTTGCGGTGGGAAGAGGACATGGGCTGATCGTCGAGAGATGAACATCAGGGCACGAAAGAGGACGGGTGGGAAAGGGGGAGGGAAGGAATGAGGGGAGAAAAAGCGGGGCAGAGAGGCGGAAGGGCAGCGGGGTTGCACGGTGTTCATGAATCCATACGCCACCCTGGAGCACAGTAATGGGTGTGATGATGTTGATCGATGCACGTGATACTGCAGCGCATGTGATCACAAGTTGTCCTGTTGGGTTTGAACCCAATAGAATTACATCATGATGACTCAACAGAGTCGACATGCATCAACCAGCCGCATCACCTGTTCCTGTAAATGGAGCAACACAGGGATGCTCAAACACACCCTCTGCCATGGCATGTGATGATGCCACCTCTTTATCTTTAACGTGGAGCCTAAGGGTCTCGCACAACCAGCATGCAACAAGCATCGTCCAGTTAGTGCCCCAAGGTCAACAGGTCGCATCCACGGCTTTAGCTTTTCCCTCCCACGTCTCCCTACTCTATTGCCTCAATCTCCCTCCCACTGCTCCGCATGCCTGCCTTCACCCACCCACTCCGACTTCACTGCCAGGACTCCTGCTGCTGCAGCCCGTGGCATGGCTCTCTGCCATGCTGCCCGGCTGTGTGTCACAGCTATGAGCTGACTGCATGGATCTAGCTGACCCAAACAGCTAGATCTATGCTATTGCACATTTGATTGCCGTCGATTCAGCTATGTGTTGTGAGAATACATGCATGTCATGTCAAAACGTCTAACGCCTGGATCCGAATGACACGACATCGCTCGCGCAAGTCTCCCGATACTAGCGCGCCGTAAGGCAATGTCGCCACGTGCAGCTTCGAGAATACGCATGCGATCCAATCGCAGCGCGCTTTGGGACCCATTGACCATTCGTCGCGCGCTCTCAGGTCACAATCATCGACCTGAGTCAGCCGAACCTCCTGCTCACAGTAACTCCATGCGCCATGTGGCGATACCCCCAAGTGGCAAAGGAGTTCATGATGCGGCACAGCTGCTGGAGCCGCGGGGAGCAGCGAGTTGGTTAGATTTGGACGTGCGACGGCGACGCCGAAAGCCGACGACGGGCTGGCGAACGGGATGGCGGATGAGATGGCGGATGAGATGGCGGGGTCTGGAGTGAGGCGAACGGTGAGATGGGGTGGGCGTGCGAGGCCGATCAGAGATGGGTGCCCCGCAACGTATACGACGCATGGCATACACCCCCCGCCCCGTCCCCCCTTCTCTTCCCCCTCTCCTATCGTCCCTCCTCCTTCACGCTCTCGCTCTTCCCTCTGAAGTCAAGAAGCGACGAACTTTCATCTGTTTTTCTTCTCCATATCGTCGTGTCACGTTGCTCCTTCCTTCTCAGAATCGCCCTTTTGCCCTCTCCTGCGGAGCGTGTCAGTCTATCTGCTGACGAGCGCCGGATTTCCAACGGTCACGTCGTTGCTGCCACCTGGCTCACCTGCCACCTCCACTCACCAGGTACTCACGCCGTTCTTTTGTCAGCGGCATCATTTTCGTCCTCTGCCTCCGGCTTCCCGTGTGTCCTGCCATCCTGCTCCGCCAGTCGTTCTTCTCGCTGCTATATCATCCCGCGAGGTGGGCATCCCCTCTGCGCCCTTCTTGTGCTGTTGCATCTGAAAGTGACCAAGTCCTCTATTTACCCATCATTAGACTCTCAGCGCACCTGTTAACTTCCTCACCACTTCATTCCCTCTCCAAGTTCACCTCATTTATTCATCAACTTTGCTTTCTCTGCCACGACATCGTGCTTTCCATCGTGCTTTCCACTGTGGGTACTCCAGCCAATCGTGCCATCCATCTCCTCGTTCACCACTCACCTCACGAGGTTGGTATCTCTGCCCTCATGGCTTTTACTCTCGCCACTCTCCACACTCGGAATGCATCTCCTTCATCCTCTTCATGGCTTCTAATCTCGCCCTCCCAGCTCTTGCCATTGCATGAAATAGTTCTTTCGCCCGTGAGTGTCACCCCTGTCCGTTCGCCTCTTCTCCTTGCCCCCCCTCCTACCCTCGTCCATTCCACCAACCCTCCTCCCTCGTTTGGTCCCTTACCGGTGCTCTGACCGCATCTCAAAATGCAGTTGCCCTTGTTGCCCACGTCCTCTCTGTCGCTTTCAAACTCAGCTGCTGCTCCTTTGCTGCCTGCCTCACTCCTGCTTTGGCTACGCCTTGGGCTTGTCCCTGTGCCATTGTCTCCCAGCTTTCCACCGGCGCCTTGGACGCCTTATGACCTTAAATGCTAACTTTATTAACCATCTAAAGGATTTTCTCCCAGCTGAATCTATCCTTCACGTCTGACTGTCTCGTTGCCGCCATTCTGCCCTTTCTGTAATGCAGCAAGTGGGTGTGCTATATTTGGCGTGGCAAGTATGGCCGGAGCAGACGAGTGGAAAGAGGCGATGGAGAAGAAAATGAGAGCATTGAACGCGCAGTTGGAAGAGACAAGGAGGGAGGTTGCAGCAACCAAGGGGAAACTGGAGGAAACTGAGAAGAGGCGAGTTGAAGTGAGGGCGATGGTTCATGGGGATCTGACAGAGCTCAATGAGCTAATAATTTCAAAGATTCTAGGCTAAATTTGCTCATCAATTTTTGGTACGGTACCAGTGCTGGTATGTGTCACAGTATTAACCAGTGGGTGTAAGATTTTCTACCTGTAGAGATTGACACCCTCCTTGTACAACCCTAGCCTAGAGTGACCTAGATAGATAGGTATTACATTGGTTGGTGCTGTAAAAACGAAATCAGCTTTGGCTGTACACTACAGAAGCCCCAATTTCCTTCCTAGACCAGCATGCTTTGTAACAGGGAATAACACCCAACACAAGGTACGGTAGTACGATGCGTGGAATGGAATGGAGAGCAGAGCTGAAGCAGGTGTACCTGTGTGATTATTAAAACACCAGCTGTGGCAGATGCTGCTGGTGCGCACTCGAGTAGTCACGGTCTTTCTCGCATCTCACAAACACCCTCTACTCTACACCTCAACACTTGTTTCTCACAGCACGTAATGTAGTCAACCTCGCCTAACAGGCTGCTGAGAATGGCAGCAGGTGACAACACAGGGAGAGGAGTTGAATCTGTGGAGCTAGAAAGAATGACTTTCAAGTGGCATGCAGGAGATGATGACTTGGATGTCCCTTGAAATTATCTCAAGTGCGTCGCAGTGCCGCAGTGATCCAAACAGCTCTTCCAATATTTCTCTAAGATCTCTGTGTGTCGTCTCGCCGCCACTCACATTAATTGACATGCTTCAGCAAGGCTGACCCATTGTACCTGAATCCAATGTTTGCAACGATAGAGAAAGGGCAAGGATCAGATAAGCAACGCATGAAGTGATAGGAATGAGGCATGGGATGAGGTGTGCTCGCAAAGCTGCCTAGAGCACACAGACGTGGCTGTTGATATGGCTCAACATGTGATATGCCTTCACCATGAGCTGTTTGGAGTGCTGATAATTCACATTCCAGCCTTACTAGCTCTGCCCGTGCCCAGAGCA